TAGAAATCACTCATCCATCCACTCTATCCTGGAGCGTGATAATTCCTACTCCCAATACAAGTTACTGATACCCACCACCCCTGAACCAACTAAGAAGCTATAAATCAGGAAGAGGGCAGCTCCTATGCAACCCCAGTTAATTTCTGTTTACAATCTATCCAACAGAGAATGTTAGCTCGTCAAGGAAGCAACAGACTGATTGATCAGATAGTAGGAAAACATAGCAGCTTAATGACAGAAAATAACAAAATGACAAATCAAAAGGCTATATGTGATTTAAAAAGATTGAATCAAAAATTTATCTTTAAATATATGAATATTCCTGAATGTTCATTTCATTTCAGTCTGCACCTCCCTGAAACACTCAAAGAAAAATTAAACCTATACTTCAGTGGAGATTGATTTTTTTTTAATTAAACATAAAAATTAAAACTTTAAAAGTCAGAAGAGTGGAATTCTACCATTAGGTAAAAGTAGTTAGGAAAAAGAAGCAAAATTCCAAAATATTTTACAGTCTAAAATCATGACATTAAACTTTGACAATTTATCTCAAAATGATCCAGCATAATATCAACAGAAATTGGAAGCATCTCCCAAGAAGCTCTCAACATCATTTACCCAGTGGAATTTGGCAGCCCAGCTAGGCCTGTGAACGAGCTAATAGAGTCCCTGTATCTCCATATGTATTTTTCCTCATTAAGAAAACCAATTTCCCTGGATAACACATGTCAGGCCATAAACACTTCTAATCTCAACAGTTTTCATAAAAAGGCTTTTATTTGTTCAGTTTTCATTCATTCAGGTACTGCTTTAAGTGAAGAGGGCCTTGGCTCTCAAAAAGTTTAGATTTTAATGGGAAAAGACAGGGGAGAGACAATACTGATGGGGATGGAAGTATGCAGATAACTGCAGCACAATGTCCTGACAGAAAGGGGATGACCTGGACGATTGAACGGTCAAGGAAGACAACTCTGAGGAGATGATGTGTAGGAGGAGATCCAAATGACAAGATGAAGCCAGTCAAACAAAGGCTGGAAGAAAAATCATTTGTAAAAGGAAAAACCATAGGTAAAAAACTTGGAGGGAATAAAGGGAAGCTGTGTCTTACATGGGCTAGGAAGCGTGCGAGGCAGAGAAGGGTGGGAAGGAGGCAGGAGCAGCTTGCCCAAGGACGGGGAAACCTGGATGAGGAGTTTGGATTCAAGTGAAAGCACCCCAGTGCTGGGGAAGCCAGCCCTCTGAGCCAGGACACCAGGTACGAGGCCTCCTAGATATGCCCACGACTTGCAGAGGTTGCTGGAGATGGTGGTGTAATCATTCCCAGGTGCTCAGGTGGCTGGATCTGTGTCCTGTCAGAAATCTCACTCCTCCTGAAGCTGTCAATATCATCAAAGCTCAGCAGAACCCTCATGAAATACAAGGAATAAGATGCTTTGCCCTTTTCCCCATCTTGAAAGTTACCTATCAGAATTTACTTTTACCTCACTAGGGGAAAGTAGAACCTTCCATGAGGATTTGGACATAACTGTACTTATTAATCGCAACAATCGGAACAAAAGAAAGTCAAATATTTAGAAAATCTGAAAATGGTAGGGAAAAAGAATAAAATTAAGACTTAATTAAGCAGATTCTAATCAGGTCTTAGGCACTCTCTCCAGCTAACCTCTGATCAAATTAACACAGGCTAGCTGAGTACACTGGCTGGGACTCAGTGATGACTGAACAAACTGCCTGGCTGAACACATGGTATGAGAACCATAGCTAGAGGAGAAAGAAAAAAAGAGAGTAAAGTCATTTCCTCCAGACCACTTCTGTGCATCTATTTCAGCTCTACTAATTTGTAACTTGTGATCATGTAAATTCTTGAAGATCTAGTCAGTAATTTTCAAAGGCTACTTTGATTAACAGTAATAGTTACTGAGCAATTACTATGTATAAGACCACATACTTAGTGCTTTTCGTGCATTATCTCATTTAATCTTTAAACCAATTTTATCAGAGAGAAACTATTATCCTTATTTCCAGATGAGAAAATTGAAGCATAAAAACATAAAGTAAGCTCTCTGATGTCACACTACCAGTTAGTGAAGAAACAGAACTTGTAAGCAAATTCTGTCTAAAAATCAACTCAATGCTTCCTTTAAAATCTTAAATAGTGGGCCTCCGTGGTGGCACAAGGGGTTAAGAACCGTACTATGAAGCAATCCGCAGCCTCAGCAGCACGAGTTTGCGAGTTCCATCCCTGGCCAGCCAGGGAGCAACCCACAGGGTGCAGCAGACCTCTCCTGTCTCACCTGCTGCTCCCCTCAGCAGTGGTTTTCGGTAGATCCACCTGTTCTGCTCCCCACTCTGTCTCTGGTGAATCCTCTCATCCCCCAGCATCTCTGGCCTATACCCCAGCTCTTGTATGCATAAATAAATACATCTTTAAAAAATAAAATTTTTTTAAAAATCTTAAATAGTGCAAAGAAAGAACACTAACTAGTACTACATAACCACTCTGAACACAATACAGTATGAAATTAAGTATTATATAGTTTTAAGCACTGTATACTAAAATAATTTATTAATTCTTAATTCTGTCTATTCCACTCCTCTACTGGCCATTTCATTAGCTGCTCTATATATTCTTTACATTTAAACAAAATAAACCCATAATTCATTCTCACATAAGAGGATCCCTAATCCTCAGCCCAAATTTCTGAGAGTGTACTATATTCCTAAAAAAAAAAAAAGGCAAGGGAATTTATAACTTACTAATTATAAGCTCTTCATACAAAACAAATTCTCACACATACACACACTTTGTATGGAAATTTTCTTTGACCTTTAGCCAAAAGATGGCTACTACTGCTGCCACTTATTTTCACAACCGACATATTTATTTTCAACTTTCTGTTTAAGAAGCAAAGAAGAGGACACAATAATGATTAATCACTTCTAGGCAAAAGATGACTATATATAGGAAATGAGCATAATAATTTAGTTTTAGATGTCTTCCCATAATTTTTCTTTTGCTTTGCCCTTAACCAATATGTACAGTCTTTGCTAATTCCTTAGCTTTTCAACAGAACTACACTGCCAAGAAAGAAAATGTTTATATCACTTAGAAATACAAATTTTAAGATCTCTCATTATACACAATCACATGAAATCAGATCAGTGACAGATTATGCAGTAAATATCCAGGAAAATGTTCATACATACTCTCTTCATTTTAAATATACAATATGCTGTGTGACAGCAATTGATATCATTCCAAGTATTTTATAAATCCATACAAGGGGCTAGAGCTAAGTCAAAAGTAAAAAAACTCTTGACTTTCATGCTATTAAATCTCAAACCAAACATAACACTGCATTAACATCTTGCATAAGTTCATATAACTTACATAAAAGTTTGTTTTTAAAACTGGGGAATGGTACCACCAGCACAGTCTGACAGCCCACCGAGTCTGGGACCCTGTCTTTGACAGTGACCAATGATAGATGCCTCACACAAGAGCACAAACACGTAACATAATGTATATAATTATGCACTACGACACCATTACTCCAGATGGTGGTTAGATTATAGCCTGAAAGAAATAAAAACAAATCCCCCCTGCTCCCCTTCCCTACTCTATAATTTCCCAAAAGGTGATGGGAAACCGCCAATAAAGCACAAATTGAGCGATAATATCTATGTTTCTGTAACATAACAATTGTCTAAGAAATGGTCTCATAAACTAAAAAGCTGTACTGAGAATTTGAATCTAAGATCACCAAAACATATGATTTATGATACGGGATGTCAATGAATCGGAAAGCATCCGATTCACTCAGAATTATTTACAAAACAGATGAGCAAATTTTAACTAAAATTTAAAAAGAAACTGTAGCTTTAACCCAAGCCATCCATTTGGGGATATGTAACACTGTTTTCTAGAATGTACTATTGCATTTTATTTTAACTTTTTAGACAAGAACTCTTCAGAGAAGTAATATTCGCACTTGATTTGTAAAGTTATTTAAAGTAAAGCTAGGATTTATAAAATGTTAATCTAAGTGTGCAAAACCACATAATGAAGAAATCTTGGTTTGGTCCTTCAGGAAGTACCATTTCCTAAGTAATTATAGACCAAAAATTCACTGGCTTTTAAAGACCTTTGGAGAAGATAACTCTCTTGGTAGTATACTTGGGTATTGACTTAACGCTTGCAGTCAGGAAACAGTTCCTGACTTAAAACCTCCATGGTATAATTTGAATTCATTTTCTCTTTTTCTGACCTCAAATAAGTTGTGGAAAATTAGCTCATATCACAATACTTTATACATTTGAAAACCCTTATTAAGGTCTCCTTTTCCAGTAACTGAATTACAGGAATATAAACCAAACAACATCCTATACTGAAATCATAATTTTTATATTACATATGCCATAGCCCCAGAGACAGAGCTCAAAAATTACTTACCATCACATTTACCAAACATTATTCCTCCCCTGATATAACATTCTTTCCTCAAAAAATTATCTATATTTCAGACAAAAAAAATCAAAACTTAAGAAAGTTTTATGAGAAGTGGGAACAAGGAATAATGCATGCAAAGTTCCACACAGACATCGCATCCTTCCCTAAAACCGGGATCATTTAATGAGATGTATCTCTCAAAATCTCTGGGGCAAAGCTGAAGCTGCAGAGCAGTACCATAAAATCTGCAGCTGTGTTGCTGTTCTTAATAGTCCACGCTACTTCCTTAGACCACAGGAAGCCAAATACACACTGCCTGAACAGAACTTACCTTAACAGGAGTTCGCCAAAGCAGCAGTTATGATAGATCACACATCAAAACTGTTATTGAAATGATTGTACATGTCTTTAGGAATTTTCTACTCAAGCTATTTGCTCACTGCAAAAAAGATGTATCTATTTGTTTCCAAAAATCAATTTTTGTAGGAATTAAAAAGTACAGGATAGGTACATAAACTTTACTATATATAAACAAGCATTAACAACTTACTTTTATTGCCCACTAAGGCAACCAGTGGCTGAATTTCTGACTCCTCGCTCACTTTCTTCACCACAGTATACCAGTCTTCTAAATTTTCAAAACTTTGATAATTTGTAATATCATATACCAAAAGGATTCCCTGTCAAAAAGAGTTAAAGAATATTTGTAATGCAGAACTTGAAAAAAATTAATACTGTCTTCTCTCAATGGTCCAAGCATATTTCGGAGAGTGTAAAACCGCAAATGTAGACTGTTTTACATACTAACTGACCTCGAATCCACTACTAGCAAACAATACTGATTTTTTTTCATTCAAAATAAACTCAACAATTAAGATGCAATGCAAGCAAAAGAATATTATCAAACTGTAAATGGTTTCCCAATTAGATACCTAGATTATGCTTGGTAAATTATAATAAAAATGAAATTATATCTTAGAGTTGGAAACGGCTGCAAGATCTATAATCCTGCCTGTCACTTTCATGAGGTCAAATATTTAAACCTTTCAGTAAGTTGCCATCTGCTGCTGCTCTTTTTAAATATTTGCAAAAATGGAGATTCCATAACATCCCTCGATAGCCAATTTCAGTGTTTAACACAATTTTCTTTCAATGAAATAAGTCAATTTCCTCTTTTGGGCCTCTGTGCATTTCAAGAAAGACATGAGCGCATCCTCCTTACAACAACCCATCATGTACTTGAAGGTAGTTAAGTAACTCCTTTTATGGTCGCCTTTCCAGAAAAAATAAACTCAATTCCTTAAACTTGCCTCAAAGGACCTATTTTCTATCCTTTAATCATAGTTGTTGGTTCTTCCCAAGACACACTACATACAGTTTTTTGACATCCTCTTTAAATTGAGCAATGTAAAACTGGACATGATACTGTAATAAGAGCCTGAACAAAGCCAAATATAACAGAGGGATTGCTTCCTGCCTCATATATATCATATTCCTCCTAATATATCCCATTATTTTGTGTGGGAAGGAAAAGAAGTATGTACACACACAAAAATAACAGTGCCACATTCTTGAGTCTCATCCAATTTGTGGTCAAATACTTAATACAAAGCTCTGTGTACAGTCTAAGTCTGGACCCTCACAGCATTTATGTTGCCTTCTAGATTTTAACATAAATGTTGACCAGTCTTTCATACCTACAATGCACCAGACAGATATCTACTTAAATGATGCTAGTTAAGTCATGAAGGCAGAATTTGAATCAAGGTCAGAATAAATATAAATCCAACTTTACTCTACATTCATTCATTCATCCCACAAACATTCATCTGTCAACTATATGCCAAGCATTATGCTAGATGCTCGCAATGTTGTAAATTTCATAAAGCTGTGCAAATTCAGAGTCTTGCATCAAAGGCAAGCACAAAAATAGAGAAGTACACAACACAAAAGGCAGTCAGTGATAGACTGATAAACATCAATCAACTGACACAGAATGGGGTGGCCTGGGGGGAGTTTAGCTGAATCATTTGCCAATTTTCGTGGTGTAAATACTCCCTTGTAGCCATTTCCAAGTTATCTGTCATGGCACTAAACAAAGAGTTGGGCAGGACAACACTACAAAGCATCTCCACAGACATAAAGAATTTCAAGAGCATATATAATAGAAATATATAATAAAATATTAAAAGATACATTTGAACATACAATGCTTTGTCTTTAATATAATTTATCAGCCTATACATAATTTTTATTCATAGCTGAATTTAGCAACTGGCTCACAAAAATTCCTGAAAACTTAACTGACTTACCGAGCCAGCTCTAGCACTCTACTATTATGACCTTCTACTCCATGTTCTTTTATTAAACTACACTGACTCTCAATTCACTTAGCTTGTCTAGGTCTCAAGTTGCTTGCCTCTAAAATCAGATCATTAAGTTAAATAGGCTCTAAGATCCTTTCAGTTTAAATGTTCTCTAATTTTTTTGCAGCATTATTTGATTCATTTCGGTAACTCAGACAGCTATTTTTGTCTATCTTCCCAAATGTTCTGAAAGAGCAGACCTATTCAAAATAAGCAGCATAATTCCACTTTCCTTATTATGAATAATGCCTAGAACTGACCTCTGAAGAAAGCTAATCTTCAATCTGTTGACCCCACCTCTGGCTGACATGTGTGACACTAAAGGGCTCTGCCCTGGAAATCAGGTTGCTGCTGGGCTGCAGTCCTGGCTCTACTATCAACTGATCCTGGACAACACTTCTGCCATCTACCTGTAAAATCTTGTCACTCCTAAATGATTAAGTAAAATACTTATTTAAAAACAAACATACCATTATTATTCTCAATGAATAAAAAACCATATTTTCAAAGCAATTTTGAGGTAGTGTTTTACACTCATAAATTGAGCCTTGACCTATTATGCCTCTTAAAACAAGATTTTTGTAACTCTTCTAGTTAATATCTGAAATCTTCATCTCAACATAAGATTGGAACATGACAGACCACATATAAACAAAACATTGCATCATCTCTTGGTCAGTATTAGACAACAGCTCTAGAATAAAAATAAAATACCACTCCACTGTAGGAGGAATATAAGAGAACCAAGTAAGACATCAGTGTAAAAAAACAATAATAACACAAAATGCAACAAAACAAAAACAGACAATTATAAATCAGAGAGATCTTGCAGGGGAGGAGGCAGGAGAGGGATCAGAGGGAGGGAGGTAGGGGAACAGGGGGTTGTGGTGATGGTGCACGGGTGTATTGGTGAAGGAAATTCTATGGGGACTACACTTGAGGGGTGATGGGGGAAGCAAATATTGTTTAAAAATGAACAATGGTATAAAAAATTTAATAAGAAAATTAAATGCCACTATCTAGGTCAGAAGATGGTAAACTAAGGCTCAGAGTTCAAATTCAGTTCATAGCCCATACACAAGTATATTGAAATATGGTCTGACTCAGTTTTTAAGTAACTATATCAATGGTTGAATTTTCACCACAACTACAGAGTTGCATAGTTGCACGAGAGACAGCATGGCCTGAGAAACCTAAAATATTTTCTACCTCTATAGAGAAATGTTTGCCAATTCTGATCTAGACCAATGTGTCCCAATATTTTTTAGTAAGCAATAACTACAAGTCTTCCAGGACTCAGAAGAAAAATAGAAGAATATGCAACTTTTCATTATTCTAGCTACCCAACAACCCAAACATCTAACTGTTCCTATGCCCCATTCTCAATACCATTTAATGTAAAAACTATCATTTTTTTCTTTGCTCTTAGCATGATGATTAGTACTAGTCTTGACCTTTCACACTGTGGTGAAAATCTGAGAAGGAAAAGTAAGTAACTACAGACATTAAAATACAAAAGACAATCTAGGACTTTTGATTTCAGCTCCAACATGTAAAAGAGTTTAGATGCCACTGTGTCTGTCTTTACAATAAGAAAAATAAAGTAAGAAACTGAAAATCAGTGGCTTTTCTTGGACACTGAAGAGTTAAATTTTCAAGGCAAATCACCATCCTGAAATCTAGAAAGAAAGTTGAATTCAGAGGATCACAGATAAATCTTACCCGGTGGAGATGCCATTAGAGCCATTAAAAAATGGCAGGGATTTTTAAATGGTAATTTTGACAAATTCCTGGAGGATAGTCTTGGAACATCCACACTTTTGTGGGTTTTACTGCTATGAACCCCACCAGATCCTTGTGTTAAAGACCCAAGAAAGATCCCCCTCATGGCTCTATCATGGTAAAGGAGAAAGTAATCATTGTAAAATATGCCCAGAGCATTATTATAAAAAAGGCAAAGTCTCCTGTTTCACTCAGTACTCCCCTTAGCAGTGCATTTCAGTAGATCCACCTGTTCTGTTCCCCAGTCTGTCTCTGATGACTCCTCTCACCTCCCACACCTCTGGCCTACACTCCAGTTCCACACGAAATAACTAAAAAAAAAAAAAAATTTTAAAGAGAGATGATTTGAAAATATTCTTTTATAATATCTGAACTAAATGTGAAGCAATATGGTGTTAAATGAAAATGGACTTAGAATAGTTAAAAGCACGTATTGCAGGGCCTCCCCGGTGGCGCAGCGGTTGAGCGCTGGGTTGCAAAGCTGCCCGCAGCCTCTGCGGCGCCGGTTTGATCCCCGGCTGCTCCCCGGCCACCGGAGGAGGGTCCCACTTGGCGCGCAAGCCTCTCCTGCCGCCCGCTGCTCCCCTCAGCAGTGTACTTCGGTCCTTCTGCCTGCTCTGCTCCCCGCTCTGGCTCTGGTGAATTCTCTCACCCTCCCGCGCTTCTGACTGTACCCAGTGCATGTATAAACAAAAAACAAACAAACAAATAAATAAATAAATAAATAAATAAATAAAAGCACGTATTGCAACTGTAGGACAATTGTTTAAAAAATGCTAAGTATAACTTATAGGCTAAAAGAAAATGCTCAAATAAAACTAAAAAAGACAAAAAGGAAAGGGAAGTTTTAAAAAAGCAGCACAAAGAATTAAAAACAAATATGACAGATATTAACCCAACTATATCAATAATCACTTTAAATGTGAATGGTCTAAATTACACCATTTAAGACAAAGATTATCAGAGTGGATGAGAAATCAAGACTCAACTATATGTTGACTATAGAAAACTCACTTTAAATATAAAGACAGGTTAAAAGTAAACAGCTAAAGAAAACCCTGATAACACTAATAAAAAGAAAGCTGGAATAGCCACATTAATTTCAGACAAAGCACATGTCAGAATAAGAAAAAATATTAGGTATAAAGACTGGCATAATGATAAAAAGGTGAATTCTTCAAGATGTAATATTCCTTTATGTATTATACACACTTAACAACAGAGTATCAAACTATATGAAGTCAAAACTGTAATGAATTCCAAATCACAGGTGCACCATTACAGAACTCAATACTCTGTTACATTAACAGACAACATTGAGTAAGCAGAAAATCAGTTAGTTAACCTGAACAGCACTAATAATCAACTTCATCTAATTGATATTTATAGAATAAGCCATCCAACAACATTAAAATTAACACTCTCTCAAGTTCATGTGAAATATTCAGCAAGATAGGCCACATTCTGGGTCATAAAACTTATCTTTACAAATTTATAAAAACTCCTACAAAGTCTATCTTTAGATTACAATGGAATTAAACTAAAAATCAGTAATAAAAATATAACTCTAAAACTCAAAATATTTGGAGACTAAACAAGACACTTCTAAATAACAGACAGCAAAAAAGAGGCCACAAGAAAAGCTTAAAAATATCTTAAACCAATAAAAGTACAACTTATCAAAATTTGTGGGATACAGAAAAAGCAGTACTTGGAGGACAATAAATACCACTGAATGTATATATTAGGAAAAAGGAAATCAAAAATCTAAGCTTCTACTTTATAAAAATAGAGAAAGAGAAACAAGTTAAGCATACTGCAAACAGAATGAAAAGTCATACAAAGTATGGGAAAAATCAATAAAATTGAAAAGAGGAAAAATTGGAGAAAATTAAAACCAAAAGCTGGTAGACCCCTACTCAAGTTAGTGAGACAGGAAAAGACAAATCACCAATATAAGAAATTAATGAAGGATCATCACTATTGATTCCATAGACATTAAAGGTACATAAGAGAATATAATGTGAATTTTTCAGACAAAAATCTTATACATGAAATGAATTGATTCTTTGAAATACACACTACCAAGACTTGCAAATGCAGCTCCAAGACTCATCTATGCAACTATTGACTCAGAGGACCTATACCCAGCAGCTTCAGCACACCAAAGCCAGATTTCTGAATACTTACCTGCTTGAGAGCCTCAAAGATCTGAAATTCATCCATCGCTCAATACAGACATCCTGTGAACCTTCAGGAAAACTATCAGAATCTTCTCAGCCACACAAAAAAACCCAAAATACAAGATGCAATACATCTCGACAACTGAAGTCAGAGAAGATCTGTGGAAAGCTGCTGCAACTAATTTTCTTAGCAATCTTGTGGCTCTCTAAACCCATCACTATGTCTCATGTCCGTGACATCCGCCCCTCATTTGATATCTTTTTATCCTATCTGTCACTCATTTCATGTCTTTCATCCGCATACTGCCATGTGCTTCCTCTTCCAAATTTATACTCCAACTGCTGCTCTTCATCCTAAATCTTTTTGTGATGGCTTTTGGAAATCAGATTTCAAGTTTTAAAATCCTATACATTTTCAAATTCTTCAATGAAAATTTCCTCCATTTTTCTAAGCCTGCCCTTCATATTTTTCCACTACAGTTCTCAGAAGATACTACCGCCCCCTTCTCTTTGTAAGCTACAAGAATAGCTTACAAAGTACATAGTACTTTGTTTCATATATTTCACTTATGCCATGCATAATATACACGATGAGTCAATAAATCAAACAGATACCACTTTCAACAGAATAACAGCAGAATAGTAAGTCTAGAACAAACACGGGTGGCAACACTTAATAGTGTTATATTTCATAGATTTAATTCTAAAATTTAACAGACACAGTATATAAAACCTTCTCAAAAAATGAAAAGTTCCCAATTCTCAAAATGCAATTCAGTTTTCAGTTTAATATAGAATATAGTAACATAGATTTAACAGCCCTAGCAATATAAACTGTGTTTTTTTTGTTTTGTGAGTACAATCTGTAAGCAGGAACTCTAACACAAGAGAAGTCTGTAAATATAATCAGTTACAAGTTGGCATCCAACTGAAAAATTCATTATAAAAGACAGCAGAGGGTCTTGGGAAGTGCAGCCTTGAGATGTGCTCTCTCCTCAGGCACCAAGTCCTTGTTCGGGTGGCAACAGGCTGATTCATCTGTGTGGGGCAGTGACACACAACAGGAGTTATGTTCCACCTCACAAATGACTACACTTCACTGAGTTTATGCTCAGTAGGGCAGTGTTTGCAAACCACTTAGATTCCAGGATGGAAAGAGCTACAAAAATGAAACATCCAGTCCTTCTCTGAGGTTTGTTATTAGCCTCTGTTAGCCACAGGTTGCAGGGCACTAAACACTATGTACTGTGTATTTGCTCATAACCACTATGAAAAATAGCCTATAACATCTTTTTGAAGACTCCTAGAAAATTTTAAGCTAATTTAAAATCTGGGAATTTAACTGAAACATATTACAATTCTCAGAACTAGGTCTTGTCAAAATAACTCACTGATTCCTTCTTGGGTGTCAATTCAATTCTGTTTCAACCAACACTATACAATAGACTATTGCTAAAGTTTAATGCTATGGGGAGAAACAGTGAAAAGAGTAAAATAATTAACTTCATTTGAATGTTAATTCCCAGCCTACAAATAAATTTCTTCCGAGATGCTACGAAATTCTTTAAAAAAGTATATTTACTGGCTTAATAGCCCAGCTACAATACAATTCTTTCAATACACAAAATATGTTGGAGGTACTAAAACAATATCCCAAATAATACATTAAATTAATGTGCTCAAAGCAGCTTGTCAAAATATTATTTATGAAAGATTTCTACCCTGTAGCATGTATACCAAAATTCAAAGTAGTTGTGAGATGTGTAATTTACAGCACCTATAACTTTAGAAAGAATATAAATCCACTTTGAAAAATAATTATATGCTTATACAGCACAAAGCTATTAAGTATATTAAAATGCTAGCAGATATTTTTGGAAACATTATTTTTTAAAAGTAAGATTTCCCACAACTTATGGCAGTGAATATAGTCGGGGTTCTCTGCCTTGGATATAAAATTAATGTATATTTTAATGAAAAAAAACTACTGGTAAATATACTATATGTCTTTTACATAGCATTTAATTGAGACTCTCTAGAAAGCAGGCAAAATTTATTACATTATCATTAACCTAAGACAATTCATCTAGGCTCTCAGAATTCCCAGTTTCCTAGGACAAATTTATGAAAATGTAGAAGAATGTCTCAGAAATGCCATACAACATAGTTGTTTAATAAAATGGATTATATGCTTATGACATTCACAGAAATTGTAAAGTCTAAACAATACAAAGAATTATCAAAAAAGTAAAAAGTTAACATGTACCTTTAAAATAGAAATCTTATATGACAAGTTCTAAGGAATATAACATTCTCTTCCTCCCAAGATGTGAGGTACTTTAGAAGAGAATAGAGATATTTTAGTAAAATCATGTACTCTGACAAAAGAAAATTTTTTTTCAAATTTCTACAAATTTTCCCATTAATGTTTACCGATTGTAAGCAGCTATGTAATAGCATAAAACATACACTTATAAAAACTGATTTAAGAAGATGGTCACACAACGCTGAATGTAGTAAATGCCAGTGATAATACACTTTTAAATATTGTATTATTACATGAATTTGACATCAAAAACCAATTTTTATACCTTTCTTAATAAACTTTAAATTGTGATAAATCAAATAACAAATTTTTTTAATTATTTGAAGGTAAAATTAAGAAAATAGAATTAACAGGCATTATATTCTTCTAAATTTTAAGGAAAACTTATTAATTACATTTTACACTATTTACTGAGATGCCTAAAATCTTGCTGTTCTTCATTAACTCTAGCTATATCTATAAACCATAAAAAACTTCTATTATGACCAGAAGACTAACTGACCTAATTTTCACTTTTAAGAAAATCAAAATACATCCTTGAAGACAGATTTTAATGAGACAAATTAGAAAAATGTTTTTTCAAGTTCCATTTACCAACCAGGTGAGTGAAACAAGGACTGCAACTTTCCACAAATCTCTGTCCAGAAATCTTTTGCTATTTTAATATTCAATTTAAAACTAATCAGCTTCAAAGAGAAAAAATTAAACAACAAAAAGTCAAATACAAAAGTCTGGACATACCTCTTAAAAACAAGGGGAAAAAAAATGAACATGCATAAAACATCAAGTCACATGGCTACAAGAAAAAATGTTAAGTGAATAAAAAATTTTCCAGGTAACAAAGAACAATGTAGAATAAAAGACAAAGAAAAGAGAATCTCAAGGGTCAAATCTGTGTAACAATAAGGGGAACACAAAGCTCTAGAGCCTTTCTACGTGATTCAGACCAAATAACCTCATTTACCCTTCCCTGATTATTGTGGAAGATAATTCAGAATCTATTTTCCATCTAAAATTAAGGCAATGGTATTTGAAAAGCATCAAAATTCATACAGAAAAGGGTTAGTATTGTGTTTTCATCTTCTAGATTCACTTCTCATGAGGAACCAAGCTACGGCTCTCCCACTTAAACATCAAACTCCAATAAAGCACTCAATGAGGATTAGGAATATTATCACCCTAAAGCTTCATGAAAAAAACACATACTAATTAAAAGGAGAAGAAAAGCAAAAAATTTAAAAATCACATGTCAATAATTGACTTTTTAATGTACATCATGACCATGCATATTCTCTATTGTATAATAATTTAATTTAAAAGCTATAAAATATGTCTATCAGTCTATGCTGTCACAGTCTCTGTTATATAATGATTCAAGTGGTATTTATTGCTCTAGTTAGATTTTCTTCTAAAAAGACATTATTGTTTTAAAATATTGTATGTATATCATACTTATATTCATACCTAGTTTCAGATACAATATATTGATATATCTATAAAATCTAAAGAACTAAAAATATTTAGTAGAGTAATTCATTGCAAAAAATATAGACATGGAATTATGCTTTTTGTCCTTACAACTTAAACTGAAATTAAATTTTCCCCTTCTATAGTTTTCATTCAGTTTATACGTTCTGAGAGTAATCACTATAACCAAATCAGCTAATAAATATCAAAATATCATTTGTCACTGCATTTACTCAATTACTGGCAATAATATCTAGTGGTATAAGTAGCATATGAAAACTATTAAGTTTCACAGCAGTTCCCTCTCCTAAATCAGTCCAAATGTAATCTAGGGGGGGAGATGAAAACAAAGTATTAGCATAAATGTAAAATCTGTCTCTCTACACTTCAGAAAAGAATGAAGTTAGTGTGTGTGTGTATGTTTGCACATGCTGGTGTGTGAGAAATTATCTGTGTGTACTAGTTTATGTCTGTTTGTGAGCGAAGTATTTTCAGTACTGGAATAATTATGGGATTTGTGTCATACCTGTGCTCCATAGATATATTTATCCAACATCTTGCCTCCTATTGTCTGCCCTCCTATATCCCAAACTTGAAGAGTAACATTCAAATTCCCTGGAACATAAAAAAAATGTATAGATAAGATTTCAAAAAAAAAAATCAAGTAACAATATAACAACGGGATACAATCTCACAAAACAGTCACAGTGATAGACCCTGAACCTAGTTTGTCTTTCATTCTAGAGTTCCATGCAGTCAGATATGTTGCCAAAAGAAATCGAGGGAAATTCAGGTTTATGCTTTCACTGCATTTCCAAGGCACCACATTTAAAATCACCTTCTGAACAAAAGAAGATAAAGTAAGTTATAATTGATAAAATCCTTAAGCCTTTAAAAAAAGAACCATTTTCCTAACCAGAGAATAGAATAGTAAAACACTATGAGTGAAGTAAGAAGTAAAGTAAAACCCGAACTTCACATACTAACCAGCCCTACTGAGCATAATGAATTTTGCAGTAAGTTTAAACTCTGTAAATCCTAAAATTCACAAAGAAATGACAGACTACAAAATGCACCCAAAGTTTCAGTTTAAATGAATGAATTAATTAGTATTTAAATATATAAAAAATGTAATGGTAAACAGAATCAAAAAATATTTTTTAATTTAACCTATAAAATATAAACACATTTGATAATTCTTTGTATGTGACATAGGATAAAAACCTAGTTCAACACTATAAATATATACTTTCATACCTGTTCAAAGCATCTCCACTGAAACATACATGTGCTTTCAAAGCCTTCATAAAATAGTATAACAAATCTTCCCCATACAAGGACTATACAAGAATTCTAAAAAACTGAAAGGCAATCTGTACATTTTTTTTGCCCATTTTGTAAAATATTTGGTTGATACAAAATTTATGAGATGTTATTCTCCTATCAATATAATTAATGACTAAACTACAAAGACAAGCTTTCCAATTTAACTTTTCAAACTATTTCTCCCTATGAAATTATGTAGTTTTCCCCAAAGGGAGAAAAAGTTTCAATTAGTACCTTCAAAATGAACTCCCATACCAAAAAATTCAACTTTCTACATGATTTGCAAATCAGGAAAACTCAAACTAGAAGCCCCAAAACTAAAAAAAAAGTCTCACTTCAAAAGCAAAAATAGGAGGCTATAAAGCATGTTTTACATATTTTATAGTGTTAGTAAAACGTTAAAATCAAAGAATGTCAGTCACACCATTCAACTTCAGCAACTGAAAAGACAGTACGACACTGAATTAATCAGCCAAGTTCCACTCTTAAATCTGAGTTGCGTTGGGTTTGCATTACAATCTTTCCATTATTTGGATGTAGGTCTGTTCCATCTGCCAACATGCAGAGGATTTATATGAGGGACTTCCATTAGCACTAACGAGAGCTACTGAAGTTTATCACCCGTCATCACACACACACACACGCACGCACGCACGCACGCACACACACACGCACGCGCGCGCTCTCTCTCTCTCTCTCTCAACCCTCACAAAGTAATGACCGAAAAAATGTTCTAAAGCTCTGTGAATATAAAAACCAAAATGTCACAACTAAGATTTGCCCAACAACTTGTTTAAATCCAATTTCTTAAAAATCTGAATTTTTCGAGATCGAACGATGAAATCATCCTTTATTAATGTTGTCTAAAAATTAAGCAGGTGAGAAAAGGTTAGCGGTCACCAGAAGTATATCAACTAGTATCAAAAGTCCCTAAACAGGCAGAACCCTATTTAATTTACTTACAAAACTATTTATAGTCATCCAAAAACCAGTGCTTAACAATATTAACCTCTTTTAAAAGTAGGATTTTAGTCAATAAAAAGCATTAAATCCCACTTTCTTCAAAACCAATAGTCCTGATCTTGTAACTTCATCTCAAAACATATAGTCTCGTTCCTTCGCTCCTGGAGTTCTGACAGTCAGATTCCATCTGAACTAGATGCTGTGAGCACTTCAGTGACATACCTTTGGGAACATGATCTTCATCACCTTCTCCGAGACCTGACCATCATTTCACGACTCCAAACCATTCGTTCAATTGCTTCCCACCTCAGAAGTTTATGTTTATGTGTTAAGGGCACTTTTTAGATCCATACCTTTGCAAATACATACTGTTTGTTGGTGGTGGTTTGTTTAACATACATGTTCTAGTGACTCAGAAATAAAAATAGCTATGCATTACTGATGACCCGCCAATATACCAAGCTAGCCAAAATAAACCTTTTACTATCATTACAGCTTCAAGAAATTATACATTAACCTCAATTATTTCATATATCTAGAAATAATTTTTTTACTACCACATTTGATTTAAGCTTATTAATGTAAAAAAAATAAAAATAAATAGTCTTCTCTATTGAGGAACAAAATCATTTGAAGATGAAACTCAAAATTCATTTTAGTTTTTGCAGGCATAAACATATGCAGTCTCCTAGTATATTTTCAACATGGCATACCTATAAAGCTTCATAAGAGTATTCAAATGATCAACAGTGCAAACATTTTTAAATTAAGAATCCATGTGATATAAATTTCCAACTAATAAAGACCATTAAGAAAATTGTCGGCAATGTAATCCCAAATGCAAAATCCTACAAAATCTCTGCTCCTCTGTAGGAAATGACATGTAACTAGGGGGGGAAATAAAATAAATGAGGTGACAAAATACAGATAAGTTGCTTTAGGTATGAATCAAAGCCACGAAGAGGATTCAACAGTGACCTTGTAAAAGTACACTTGGTGCCTTGGTTAACCTTACTTAAAGTGCTGCATAGTCAAGATGGAACTAAAAACACAACTCTGCCCACTTCTTGTACTAAAGACTTAGAAATCCTTTTCACAGTAGAACGCTGTTTACTGGACTGTACCCACAAGCTTCCTGAAAGTATTTTGACTAAGGCTCTTAAGCAGCTCTATCAGCAGAATCTCTGACTAACAGATACACTATTTTAAGCAGTAAATCTGCACAGTGGCTGCATCCAGACTATACAGCATACCGGATCATGAAATAGACTAAAATGGATGAGTCTTTGCAAAGTAATGACCTTGAAAACTTGCATGGAGAGAATGCGAATAGAGGTACAGGAGGTATTATACCTCTAACAATTTGAATGGACAGGAGACTTACTGCAATACTAACAAGTATTAGATTCGCCTACCAACCTGCAATGTTTTAACAAATGATGCAAATATTAATCATCCTACATTTGACATTACTATGAATTAAAAATATATAAAGGATATATTATGAACCCTGGAATTTATACACCTCATTTCTTAACGTACCTATTAATTAAATTCCTACTGAATTTCAACCATAATTTTGAGTCCATTAAGTAACATAAAACCAACTGCCTTTAAAAACAAAAATCTTTTTTTCTGGAACTCTGCCCATCAAAACAAAAACTTAATCAGGAAAATTAAAATACACATTCATTAAGAGTATTTTTTTATAATCTTATAAAAAGTATGTCTTTTTTAATCTAAGCATTTAAATTAGATATATAATCCAAAATATTATACTATGAATTTAGATTTCAAAAATACCAAATATTTTTACAAAGCAATCAAAATTTAAAAGTTGGTGTTATTGTACAAAAGATCAGAAATTATCACATATATCATATACATAAAAAAATTATCACATATATCACATACATTAAAAATTTTTTAATGTTTTTAATGTTCAAGTAGGTGCTTGCTCCTTTAAGCAAGCCTTAAAAAACTAAGAACTATCAAAAAATTAAGTAATATTAATGATACAGAAAGTTGGTACTTTTGTTAATTAAGCATCAAAACAAACGTCAATAACTAACTAGTATATTGAGGTTCTCCATGTTCAACTGACATAGCCGAAAAAAACTAAGTTTTCAGCATGAAGAGGACGTGATTTGTTTATGTATTCCAGGGGGGAACGCCGTAAATATTCTGAATGTGGTGTTAACCTATCCATAAGAGTGAGAATAATAAAAATTAAATGAGATTTTCAGTTTTGAATACAGTACAAGGAAATGAAATAAAATGCACATGTGTTTTTCATTAGATACATTGCTGAACAATAAGTAATGAAAAACTGGAAAACTTCTCATGTTATATCTTCTAATTAATTTTCACTGGCAGTCGATTACAGGCCATCACAAAATCTAAGAGTATGTTACTAGTAAGATAGGGAGAATACCTTCAATTACCAAGAGTTTTCATTAGCTGCTCTAAAACATTCATGGACAGTCATCTGATCGATGACAGGGTTTGTGAGATTAACATATTTCAATAACACTGGAACTTATAAGCCCTTCCCACTCTACAGCTCACAGTTCAGTATAGGAATCTGGGACCACACTTGCAACCGTTTTTATTCAAATGTGTTTCCTCAGAGAGCAGAGGGATGCACTCATTTATGAAGCCAATCAAGATAAACTGCTTTTAATAAAATACTTTAAACATATAATTTAACCATCATAAGTGAATGGGCAGAACATTTTAAAGCCCCAATTGTTCAGAAACTAACTTAAAACAGAAACCACTCTTTTTTTGTTATTATTTCCCTGTATTTCCCACAAAATGTGCTGCAACTGGCATCTAAATAGTTTCTCTGCATGGTGAACTGAAACATCTTGAATGCTCAAACTGTATTTTTATGAGTGCCTAGGGACCCTAAATTTTAGTGGTCTATTAAATGCCAGCAATTTCATGCTGCCTTGCATAAAACAGCATTCACATATCTAAGCACAGAAGTTCCATAGCTACATTATACTTCTGTTCCAACTTTCTCTCAAACAAAAAACTGAAGCAAAGGCTAATCAAAATAATATTTATAAAAACAATCCTTTCCAGTCTTTTCACATTTAGCTAATACAATATATGTTGATAACTGTACAGCAGTTAGGTTTTTTTAACTTTTTAGAATTTTATAAACAACTGCTGTTTGTCCTCAAAAAACATGTAGTGGTCAAAAACAGTGGGAGAGTTGGGGGGAGTATGTACAGGTTTTTCTCACACCCATGGACAATATGTCTTCACAGTAGATGATGCTGATGAAAGTTAACTTCCCTAAGACAGATTTACTAATTACATATATTTTCATGCAGAAGCAGCCCCCAATTTTATTCTACACATATTTTATTCTACACCTACGTTTCTCATTGTAAGCCATGCACAATTTTCTATGTGAACACCATTCAGTCTCTTACCTGGCAATGTTATCCTTCTCAAAAAGAAATCCAGTCCTATAGTTTGTTTGTACTGTTTCCCAAAAGTTTCTTGAGCAAAACACGTAGCTAAGGAAGTCTAAAAAATTAATGCAAAATTAATGTCTTTGTTTTAGAAACATAAACATAAAATCATTATTAAATCTTATTCAGTAAATCTTAATATGTATACTCTCATTGATCCAACAGCAGCTCTAATCAGGTGGAGGGGGGGAAGGACTTAACACTCCACCAGGTAAATTTCACTTGCCAGCAGCTATCAGTGGGGACAACAGACTAATCCATTAGATCCTGTTCAGTCCCCTGGCTGTCAAGCTCCTTCTCTTTGCTAGAAATTAGAATTTGAGATTTATCAATAGAAGGAACTAAAACAAAATGATTAAAGATCTGAATCTTATATCTACATATATTTATATATCAATTCAATACAAATGTCATTTCTGAGGTTAAATACTATGAGGAGCCTGTCCCCGCAGCTATTCTAAAAAGGGGAAAGCCTGCTTGTAGAATTTTTTTCTTTTTTGCCCACAAGAAAATTATCATTGCCTACTTTTTCTTTTTATTAGAGATGTGAAATGAAAATGATTTCCCAGAGCACCTGTAATATGTACCTTTTATACATAGAAGTTGGTATTTTTAATTATAGCAGACAAAAACAAATATGTTCCAAGCAAGAATCATAAGTCATAAGATTATAACGAGAGCACACATATATCTACATTTTTAAAAAATAACAACTCTTTGTATTCAAAACTCGGGTGCTTTCTATAACTGCTACTCAAGTCAAAAGATTAAACATTCTTGTAACAAATGAAATAACTCAATAACTCAAAACTTCCTTAAACATTTTAAATGTACTATTTATTTGTAAACATCCCCCAAAAAAAGAGGAAGGCAATTTCATGACGCTGTTCTCTCTTCAAGACAGCTTCCCAAAGGTAAGAAAAAAGTAGCCCCTTTTAATTTTATAAATTAAAATTAGATGTCAACTGTTAAAATAAAAATGAAGATAAACTCTCCGAGAAAGCTTATTATAATTAACTGTGATGTGAGTACAGCAGTGGAAAAGAAAACGTATCCAAATTTCAACTCATTTAAACAAAAAGACCATTTGAACACAAGACCCACATTGTTTACACAAATATCAATTTGCACACCCTCGCTCCAATCTTTTAATATTTAAATACTCAGTATTCATAATACATTTCTAAGATATTTGGGCTAAGATTTATTAAAGACTACCATAGAAGAGAGGTTCTACTGAACAATAATAAACTCACTATAGCAGAGTGAAAATATGTTTGGCTTCTTGAAGCATATAGTAATAATATAAAAACCAAAAGATCAGTGTAAACTAAGCACTCCTTTTCAAAGTCTTTTTTTTTCATTGAGTTTTATGTATACCACTGAGCTTGTTTAACTTAGAGAACAAAATCACTTGTGGAGAGGCTGAGTTCTAAAGAAAAAATAACTATCACTACCTACACTATTACAGACATTTCAAAATGTAGACAGATGGCGAAAATACTTTTATAACTCACAAAGAAACTCAAGGCACAGGTAACATCGGCAGAATGCCATTTAAGGCAATTTTTCATTTGCATTTAAGATTCTCAAAATTGAGTATTTTTATATTCTTGGAAAATAAGAAACAAGTCTTAGAAACAAGACTCCTAGCACTTTAAAAGCCTGACCCTCACACTCTTGAAGGAAACATAAAGCCACTTGTTTAACTGGAATACGTGTGATCTGTCAAAAGCACCGGTCACTGGGAACACAGACTACAGAAATGGGTTCTTCTGTGTCTCCGGTTCCCAGTGTGAGGAAGCAGCAGGATGCACTGCATCAGAAGGAGGCGCTTACTCTTCAGCTATCCAGACTCTGGGTCATGGTCCACCTTCAACGATGGCTCACCGAGGCTCTGTATGAAGACCTTTCTTTAAACATAATCAGTGGTCACTTACCACGTCTGAAGCATCTTTATGATTGTTTCTTTTGTTCTCTTAACTTCTGCTATCAATTTTTATGCATACTACAGTTACTAACACTAAAAAGTTACCCAAAAAGAACTTTTCACTTCAAAAAAGATAAGAAATGTGTAATAAAATCAAAGTATGAATCAAAACTAGGGGAGGAGTAAAATATCTCCTGGAGAAACTGAGTGGTCATCTCAATTATCTAGCGCTTCTGTCAGTGCATATAAAAATGCCCTGATTTCCAACTAGCAAGAAAAACTCACGCTAGTAAAAATGGCCAGGAGTTAAATCAAGATACAAATAAGAATGATAGCATCTGAATGCATATAAGAAAAGGGCAGTAAAAGAAATAAAATTGGGGGGGGGAGGGGGAAAGAAGAACTAGGATGGGAATGTTGGTAGCTGCCCATAACATGGCAGCTGGGAGAGGTATGGGGGGAAAAGCTTGATAACGAAATAATGCTCCTGGACAGTGGGGGGAAAAGGTGAGGTTGCTTATTATTGTGTCTGGAAATTTCTGGCAGAAAAAGCAATTGTGGTTTTAAAATAGATTAGTGAGAATACCTTATTTTGCATTCCCTAACTCCTAATTCCACAATATAGACGGGAAAAATTTAATGGTTTGTCCTGTACTAGGCCAAATTTTAGACAACAAAAAACCCTAATTATTCGCACTAAATTGACAAGGAAAAATAGACACGCCAGCCTAAGTGAAAAACCTAGAAACAAAATTACCTAGATAAAAATTTCAACTAGTACATACAGGATAACAGACAAAGCTAGAGGAAAAACAAATGTTAAAGAATTAGAAGGCAGGATGAGGAGCAATTTTTGTATCTTTTTACAAGTGTACTCTTCTTATAGATTGTCACTATAATTTTAAACAGGAAATAAGTTCAGTTAATGAGCTGACTAAAAAGATGGACAAAATGGAAAAAAGTTAAAAGACATTCAAAAAGCATGAACGAGAAAACTACAAATATAACTTCAAATGTTCATTGACTAGGGTATCAGAAAGGGCGCTGACTTAAGTCAAACAACGATCCACTCAAAAAGCGTCCTAAGTGTCTGAAAATCCCCACAGTACTTTATAAACTGATGCCACATTCGTTCCTTTATGAAAATGCTTAAAAGTAATCACAGTGCATCTGTTGTCTTTCCTCCACAATAAAGTCTGCAACGAAGCAGGCAAGAAAGAAGTTAACAGAATTCTCCACGTTTTGCATCAGAAAGACACCTTGTGGGGGACTCAAATCTCAGGACCAAAGACCAGCCCAGATGGGCAGTGCCAGCCTCCAGGGCAGATGCACAGGGAGGTCCTCGCCGCAGACACCAGGGAAGCCGGAGACCAGCAGCCCAGCAGCGTGGACACAAGGGGTCCCAACCGGAGGCTGGAACTTTGCAACCTGCTGGCTCCTGGCTCGGGCCGACGGGGAGGGGAAGCTGCAGCGCTCCCAGGAAGGGTGGGCCTGACAGGAGCCGCAGGTGCAGGCACGGGGGCTGCTCGCTCACCTGGGGGTGCATCACAGGCCCTGCGAGAGCCGCTGACCCTCTGCAAACATCAAGTCCCAGGCCACGTTCACTCCCTTTCGGGAGCCTGCGTCGCAGCCTGGGGGGTGCGGGGCCTGGCCGAGGAGGTTCTCAGGCACTTACTCCCCCACCGTGGCCCAAGGCGAGGCTGGAAGTGGGGGTCCCCTCTGCTGCGGCGGCTGCTCCGCCCCAGCACGCACCACGAGGAGCTCGGACTCTGGGGTGAATGATGCTTGTGCTGACAGGTGCGTGCGGGGTCAGAGGGAGGAGCAGGTGCGGTGCCAGGAGACAGCAGCGAGGGGTCCGGCGCGCACCCCGGGTCTGTCACACTTGCAGGCGGACGCCCCCCGGCAGCCTCCAGGGCGAGCCTCTCAGCACCCACTCTGCAGAGCTGCACAGAGAGGTCCGCCCCAGCGCCCCGACAGCGGGAGGCGGACCCCAGCTCGCACCCCGGAATCTGCGGCGCCAGCCCTCGGGGCTCGCCGCTCCGGGGCTCGCCGCTCCGGGGCGGCATCAGCAGCCGGAAAAGGGGGGCACGGGGCGAAGTGGGGCCTGGCCCGCCTGGACAGAGAGGGGGCGCCGGGGAGACCCCCTGGGTCTCAGAGGCGAGCGGCGGGGGCGCCTCCCGGGAGGCGCAGCCGGCCCGCGCCCCGAAGGAGCGGGGGCTGCTGCCGGCGGGGGCCGGGGCGCGACTTTTTCGGGGTGCAGCAGCCGGACGGCCGCGGCGCCTCCGCGGGCGCCCCCCGGGCGCGGCCCGGCCCGGCAGCGGCGGCGGGAGCCCGGGCGCGGGGCGGGCGGCGAGGCGGGGCCGCGGCCGGGGCGGGGGCGCGGGGCCCGGGCGGCGGGGGCGGCCGCGGGACTGACCTTCCCGGAGGTGCCGTCCCCCAGCACGACGATCTTCAGCTGCCGGTCCTGGCTCTCCTCCTCGGAGTCCGACATGCTGTCCCGGGAGCCCGCCCGCCGCCGGCCCCGGAGAGCGGGGGCGCGGGGGCCGCGGGGCGGGGAGGGAGGACCGGCGGCGGCGCGGGCAGGGCCCCGCCCCGGTTCTCGGCGGCCGCGGGAGGGATGCGGCGAATCACTCGCCGGGCGCCATCTTGCCCGCCGCCCCGCCCCCGGCGCGGCCCCGCCCCCGCGCGCGACGTCGAGCGCGCCCCCGCCGTCAGCCCGCCCGCGCGCCCGCGAGCCTGCGGGGCGGGCCAGCCCATTCCGGGCGCGGGGCGGGGGAGACCCCCGAGCCGAGCAGGCGGGAGGCGGGGCCGCCTTCTCAGGAGCGCCCGGCGAGGAGAAAAACGAGAAGCGTCCTGTGCGAACGAGTGGAAAACTGGACCTTGGCAGCGCTCGAGCGTCTATCAAATCCCCCGCTCTCCCCCGCCTCCCTCGCAGCCCCCCGGGAGCGAATGGTTTAGCCCGGGCGGTGACGCCGGACCTGCGCGCCGCGGTCGCCATGGAAGCCGGAGGGGACGTTCGACGGCGGGGCGGGGCCTGTCGCTGGGCGCCGGGGACGCCGGTTGCCAGGCGGAGCGCGGCGGGGGACGCCCGGAGCTGGGGGCGCCGCGGGGGTCGCGCCCCGGGAGCGGCGACGGCTGGGGGCCAGGGCTCGCCCGGGGCTGGCCGCCGCGGCCCTGGGGGTCCCCGAGCCCGGCCCCTGCCTCGCCCACCTCGGGTTTCCCCCTCCAGGCAGCCCTGAGCTGCTGTTCTCAAAGAGTGTTCCGGGGACGCTTGGGGTTCCTCTGGAGATCAGAACCTATTTAGAGCAGGACAGATCCTTTTTGAAAAAGCCCTTTTTTCGTGTTCATTGTCTCCCAGGTATTCGGGGAACTTCGCCAGAGGACACAAGGTCTAGGGTATCATGACTGCTGGTAAGCAGTGATGCTCCCCCAGGGGCTATCCACTAATAATGACAGGAGTCATGACCACGCTGGTTAATATTCAGTGCTTTCTATAGGCCAGGCACTGTACTAGGTGAGCCGACTTCACCTTGACAACTTCATTAGTTCTCAAGCCTGTGAAGGAGGTTGTGTAAGTATGACATCACTCCGGGCACTAAAGGCACCTGTGCTGGTTACTCTGCTTCAACAGCTCTTGGCGTCCATGTAAGTGTGACATGGTAGCAGTCGTCCACAGAAAGAAACCTCTTTGGGGTCCACAGCAGTTCTTTAGAGGGAATTCTTAATCCCTGAGGCCCAAACGTTTCAGAACTGCTGTCCTGCCAGGAATGACATAACTGAAAATTTCACTGTAGTGAAGTCAGTTCTGCTATACTGACGCCGTCCTGCTATGTTTGTCTCCTTACTACTTTACATGGATTATCGTGCTCAGTCCTCATGGGAACTCAGGGAAATAGCCAGAATTGTCCTGTTTTACAGATGAAGATGCTTAAAGTCACAAATAGCTCAGAGGCCAGGGCTTCAAGTCACAGAATCTTGGCTCTGAAAGAATATGGGGATGCTGAGGAGAGAGCAGTACAGTGTGCTCTGGCTGAAGGCAGCAGTGAGAGTTTAATCACGGACCTCTTGACCCACAGTTTCCTCATCTGTAAAACAGAGGCACAACCTCCTTCACAGGCTTGAGAACTAATGAAGTTGGAAAATAGCCATGTTACCAGCAACTACTGCTCCAAGGATGACACGCTGATAGGAAGACCAAGAAACAGAAAAGAAAGGCCCTCACACCTCCTCCTGCCTTCCAGACTCTCTAGTGCCCCCCTCCACCGGCTGAAAGGAAACTAAAGGGAAGCAAGCTAGCCAAAGAGAATGGCACTTCGATCATCATACTGAGTCCGCACAGAAGGTGGGTTTGGAGCTGAGTGATGATGCCTTTACCCCCAACTCAACACCAGGTGTTGAGGAGGTGTGAGTCCCAGGAACACAGAGCCCACATGCAATCACTGTAGAAAACAATTTGTCATTATTTTGTAAAGTTAAAATTGTGCATGTCTATGACCCAGCCTTTCCACTCCTGGGTATATACCCTGGAATATATTTATAGTACATAAATGCACCAGGAGAAATGGGCCAGAATTTCCTTAACCTTATTTTCATTAGAGAGAAATCAACCAAAGGTCCTTCAACAGTGAAATGAATAGACTTTTGGCATATTTACCTAAGGAAACACATAGCAGGGGAAATCGAGTGAGCTACAACTATGGGGTTTAACCTTAGAAACACCATATTGAGTGGGAAAAAGCTAATCTCAAAAGACTACACACAGCCTGACACCACATTTATAAAGCTCTAAAACAAAAGCTCGAAAATAATGTATATATCTATGTGCATGCACATAGATAATAAAAATTGTCCAGAAAGATAATACTAAACATAAAATTCTAGTTAGTGGTGACTAGAAATGGAAGAGGAAAGTAGATGAAGTGGGAGAGGAATAGTTCCTCTTTCCAGATAAAAATTTTTACCTGTTGAAACCTTAACCCCCAAAATGACCATATTTGAAGATAGCTTTTAGGTAATTAAGGTGAAATGAGGACATAAGGGAGGAGAGCTGGTCCCATAGGATTGGGGGCCTTATAAGAGAAAGAGAAACACTTCTCTCCACCCACTTGCGCCAAGGAAAGGCCATGGAAGGCAGCCGTCGACAAGCCAGGAAGAGACCCCTCACCAGAAATGGACCCTGCTGAGCCTTGACCTAGGACTTTAGCCCCCAAAGCATGAGAAAGTAAACTTCTGTTATGTAGCCACTCAGTCTATAGGATTTAGTTATGGTAGCCCAAGCTAACTGAAACGCATTTTGGACACACAATTCAATCCACAGCAATATCTAAAGAAAAATAAGTGGCACCTGCCTAAATTTTGAAGTATTGAAAATAGAATAGAACTTACAGAAATGTTTTAAGTGGTATTTAAAAAATGATCATAATTAAAACTGGAATAGACAGATTAACTGATTCCTTCAACAGAATATATGAAGAAATTGAGTGGGTAGTGAAGATGCTATTTCTAGTCACTGAGGATAACATGGCATTACTCTTTGGGTGTTAATTTTTAAAGCTGTCTACCTCACTCCTTACTTCAAGATGAATTTCATATTTTTTAAATGGAGCCATAACAAACTAGGAAAAAATGGATGCATATTTAGAGCCTGGAGTGGAAATAGCTTCTGTAAGCATGGCATGACGTTTAAGTCAAAAAAGTTAAATACATTGAGGGCATTATGCTACGTGAACTAAGTCAGACAAAGGCAAACACAACTGTGAACAGAGACAAGAGGTTGGTGGTTCCAGAGGACGGGGGTGGGCTGGGGAAAATGGGCCCAGATCTCCAGTTACAAAACTTCATGGGGATTGACTGTCCAGAACAGTGACTAGAATTAACAACACTGTATTGAACATTTTCAAGTTGCTAAGACGGTAGATCTTATACATTCTCATCACGAGAAAAAATTTTCTTAGTGTGTGGTGATGGATGTTAACAAGATTTGTCAGGGTCACCACTGCACGATGGTGGATATTGTATTGTCCACCAAAACTAATTTAATGATACATGTCAACTATATCGCAATATAAATAAATAACCATTTCTGTGTACGTAAAATTTTAGGCATCCACATGGAAAACTGTACCGGTAGGATCCTATAAGATTCCAGCAGAGAGAGTAACTGCTGCATGGGACCAGTCTTGCCACTGAGGAAAGCTAGATAAACTAGACACAATGTCTTTGAATCTGTTTTGAACTTGTGAGAGTCACCATTTTTGAATATGAGGAATTATGGGACTAGGCTGGAGGCAAGGAAAGAATACAAACACAGACACTGGCGTTTAAGGCCACACTTCTGAGAAAGTATCCACTGACTCAAGAGAGATAAAGCGTCAGCAGCACTTTTAACAGTCTCACAGAGCTGGGAAAAGACGGACAACTCAGTTCAGACAGCTCAGGGAGCATGAGCCTCCTTAAGCCAGTCCCCATGCTTTGGATGAAGACCTGCACGTCACAGGAGTTTGGGAAGTCTGGTGTGAACCAGAAACAGATCACCTCCGCAGAAACTGAAGCCAATCTGTGCCCCACTGAACTCAATGCCTCACTGAACTCACATGATCTGGGGTTATTAGTACCCCTGAGAGAGCGCCCAGAAGCAGAGTGGTGGATATGCTCTCTGGACGTACATCACTGCTTTTCCATAGCCAGTATCAGGCACCCAGTCAAAACTTGGTATATGAGGATCAAGACTTAGAGACTGGAAATCAAGAGAAACTATGAACAGTAGAAGTCCATGAGGAGATTCAGATGATAGAGGAATAAAAGCAGACTTTAAATAGGTGATGTGTGAAAGGGTTTATATGACAAGATTGACAATTTTGTCAGGCAAGTTGAAGCTGTAAAAAAGAACCAAATGGAAATTAACAATAACAAGTAGACATTATCGAGAACTGTCACTTTCCATGCTTTGCATTTCTGAATTGTATGAATTTTTTTAGTACACATAACTGTATTTTGGAATCAGAAAAGAAAACATGGGAAAATTTATCAGTAACAACAGCAAACTAGTGACTTGAAGTCCTTTTCACAGTGGACAGATGCAAACTTTGTCACGTGATATAGGTGGATTTCATTGCTATAGAAAATGTGTTCGTCTCATCATCACCTAAGAGCCTTTTTTTGAAAAGGGGAAAAAAGCTCTTGCTCTAACAGACGGGGGGCTGGTGCGTGAGCTGCACCTTCGCAGCCGTCCACGGTTCTGCCTCATTGAAGGGGGATGTGCTTCAGTGACCCAAAGCCCAGCGCCAGACAAAACCGAGAATTTGTAAAGCAGCAGCATTCTCAAATCACCTCCACAGCTGTGAAAACCAACCTACCGGTGGGGCCAGCGTGATTAAATGAGGTAATATGTGTGGAAATGTCTCAAAAAAGAGAAGGGATGGTACAAAGGCAAAATATATTGAAACTTTGGCTATGTGAATTTCCCTGAGATCGAGAAACAGCAACGAGCACTCAGTCATCCCAGAGTCCGTGGAATGGCAATGGTACAAAGTCGTCCAAGCCCAAGGTCCTTCGCATTGATTCTTTACTTTCTGAAAACTCATTTTACACAGCTCTCCTCTCTAGCTGCCGGCCTGCCTGTGGCGGCGCTGTGCTGGGGTCTGATTCCCACTCCATCTGCTCTGCTCAAGTGTAGGTCTTAGGCACTCCACCTAGTGAGATACTCTTAAAAAGTGGGATCTTGGGACCTCCCTGGTGGTGCAAGGGGTTAAAGCACAGCACTATGAAGCAATCCACAGCCTCGGCAGCATGAGTTCGATCCCCAGCAGGCCAGGGAGCAACACACAGGGCGAGGCAGACCTCTCCTGACTCACCCGCTGCTCCCCTCAGCAATGTATTTCAGTCAGTCTGCCTGTTCTCCTCCTGCTCTGTCTCTGGTGAATCCTTTCACTCCCGCACACACACACATTTCTGGCCTGCACCCCAGCTCTTGTATGCATAAATAAATAAATCTTTTTTTAAAAAATGTTATCTTAACCTTAGGGTAGCATTTCCCAAAAGTGAGCTCTTTGGGACACTAATGCTCTAATTGTCTTTCAAGTTAAGTCTGGAAACAGCAAGAGGTACCCCCACTTTTAGAAAATGACTGCACTTGAGTATATCCTACTCTGAGAAATACAGCCTCCCACAATCACTTGGATTTTTTTAACCCCAAATTTCCCACTTACATGACCAAAGAACCCATCTCTAAGTAAGAGTTACTGATATTACACAGAGCCGATAATGCATGAAGCACTGTTCCAGAAACTCTGCTTTAAAACTAAAATAAAACATGCTAGACTGGCAGTGGGGTCCCAGTGGACTCTGGTTGAGGGTCGTGGGTGTTTTGGTGGTGGGCGTGGTGGTGTATGAGGCTTTGGAAGCATGTGAACCTGTGTGGTCATTCACGGCCAGTGTCATAAGCCATTGTTACCTCAATAAAATTACAAATTTTTTAAACACTAAAAAATTCTAGGATAGAATGAAATATTGAAAGCAGTTAAGAAGCTAATTTCCAATACTTAGATCCTCATTATACAAAGGTTCATAGGCAAAAGGCTTCAATTTGTCCTTACATGCTTGGAAAGCTCAGTCTTATGATAAACAAATTTTTTTTGTTTTTAAGTAAATTTTTAGTGAGTTGACATCAGTTATAACAGTAAGTTGCTGATGTACAGCATTATATTTTTTAAAATATTTATTTATTAATGCATACAAGAACTGGGGTACAGGCCAGATGCGCAGGAGGTGAGAGGACTCACCAGAGACAGAGCGGGGAACAGAACAGGCAGACTGATGAAATACACTGCTGAGGGAGCAGCGGGCAAGTCAGGAGAGGTCTGCTGCGCTATGTGGGTTGCTCCCTGGCCGGGGATCGAACCTGTGCTGCAATGGCTGCGGACAGCCTCATAGATTGTGTCTTAACCCCTTGAGCCACCAGGGAGGTCCCTGTACAGCATTATAATTCTGCATCTGTATATACAACATCATGATCATCACCAAGTCTAGTCTCCATCCCTCAGCAGTTGGCCCTCTTTACCCATTTCATCCACCCCCACTAGCCCCCTTCCCCTCTGATAACCACCAATCTAGTCTCTACATCTAAGGGCTTGTTTTGGTTTTGTTCGTCCATTTGCTTTCTTTATAGTCTATGTATGTATGACAAGATCCAGTATTATTTTTCTTTCTCCACCTGACTTATCTCACTTAGCACAATCCCATCAAGTTCCAACCACTTTCTCACAAAAGGCAAGATTTCATTTTTTATGGCTAAGCAGTATTCCACTATATATATGTATTACATATTGTGTGTATATATACATATGACATGAATTCTATATAGACACATATGTATGTGTGTATACATAATAACCGTCTCACACACACACACACACTCAACCGTTGTGTAAGCACACTCTGAGACTTTTGCACAATGACAAAATTGCCTAAGGAGACGTTTCTCAGAGCATATCCCCATTGTTAAGTGATGTGTGACTATATACCATTCCTTTTCATCGATCCATCCATCAATGGACATTTTTTCCACAACTTGGCTATTGTAAATAATGCCAATGCCAATAGAGGTACAAATATCTTTTTGGATTAACATCTTCATATTCTTTGGGTAAATGCCCAGAAGTGGAATTGCTAGAGCATATGGCAGTTCTACTTTTACTTTGTTGAGCCATCTCCATGCCATTTTCCATGGTGGCTGCGCCAACTGACATTCCCCTCGACAGTGGAGGAGGGTCCCTTCTCTCCACACCGTGCCAACACTTGCTGCTTCCTGTCTTTTTGGTAACAGCCATTCTCACAGGTGTGAGGTGGAATCTCACTCAGGTTTTGTTTAGCATTTCCATCATAATTTGTAATGATGAGCATGTTTTGATATGCCTATTGGCCACCTGTATCACCAATGTTTTGATTCAGAATGTGTTTAAGGCTTTCTCAGTGCCTCAGTCATTGTTACTAAAATAAATCTCTCTCTCTCTCTTCCCTCCCGCCCCACCTCCACTCACACCCACCCACACCCTCCCCCGGCACACACACAGATTCTTTTCTCTGGGAAAGAGCACAAGGAGCTTCTCACACACACCATGGTTAGGGCAGCGGCCGGGATGTAGAAGGACTGACTTTCATTTATACTGTTGCTGACCTTGGTCAAGTAATTAAAATTCTGTGAGATTCCATTTCTTCATCTCTGAAACAGGGATTATAGTGACAGTTCTTACTTCATAGGGTGGTTATAAAGTTTATCAACAATATAGATAATGGTACTTAGTCCAAAACCAAATCTATCACAGCCTATTATTAAAGCTCTAATTTTGCTGTCAAGCACATTAGAATATAATGAGTTAAGCCAGTGATGCTAATATTTTTTTAATATCTTTTTTTGGAAGGTTACTGAAGGTAGAGAGCATTAAGTTTTCTTGCTAAATATAGATGTTAGAGTTTGGTATGATACATGAGACACATTTCCCTAAAAGAAATAACTGAATTCAGTCAAAACATTTGCTATAGGCCCTATATAAGCAAAGCCATGGAATCATACGACATGCTGTGTGATGGTTAATTTGTAAAAACTGAGATTTCCTGGAGAACAAGAAATTCTACCTCAAGATTGTAACATAGAAATCCTGCCTGAGGTTCCAGTCTGCCAAGCTCCCCTCAAATTTCCCACTTTTTCAAACCTCCAGGCTCCTACAATCATGTGAGCCAATTCTTTACCATGAATAAACCTCTATCCCTCCCTCTCTCTCTCTCTTGCACTCTCTCACTCTCTCTACACACACACACACACACACACACACACACATTCTTTTCTCTGGGGAACCCTGACTGATACATTCTGTCAGGGATACAAAGGTGAATTCTGTCTACATTTGATGATTATTTATGCCACCTTTGCAAATAAAATAACTTACTAATTCCTCTTCTTTTTCAGTGCTCTTTATGAAACGGTATCTTGTAGGGAACATAGACATTAATTTTTCTAATTTTGTCCTCATGATGACCCAAGAAAGTAGTTAGAGCTTAAATTTTAATTTTCAGTTTCTAAGTTGCTTTACAGAACATAAGACCTTAAGAAGGGATTGAGAATATACAAAAAGTAAAGCAGGAAGTAAAGAAGAGTGAAAGCACAAAAAATAAGAGAAAAAGAAATGACTCTAAAAATCTGTTGTCATTTAGTCAGGAAACATTTTTGAATTATCTTGGGATGAGCCTAATTAGCTTTCTCCAAAAAAATTGTGACTTTTGTATGGTGGAAAAGGTATATCTTTCCCTAATTACTTAACCCTCCATGATTCCATAGCATAAACATGGAAATTATTTAAGAATGTACATTGGAAAAATTATGGAATATAATGAGGGTCACAAAGCATAGGTTTGATTTCAGTTCTACATATTACTGGAGCTCATGGGCCTTGGACTCAATTTTGTTTACCCACAATACGTAAAAAAAGACTTAAAGAACTTGGAGAGCTTAGGACAGGATGGGAATGTGTAACAACATGCCGCTGGAGCTGGGGGAGGCACTCAGGGGCTTAGAGATAGGCTTTCACCAAAGACCGCCAGGTGGCCAGCAGGCACCTGATGTGATGCTCAGCTTCACTGATATGTTGGGAAATACTAATCCAAACCACAAGGAGATTTCCCTCCCACTGGTTAGAAATGCTGATTATCAAAAAGTCAAGAAACAACACCTCCGGGAAGGATGTGAAGAAAAAGGAACTTTCTTACAGTGTTGGTAGGAATGCAAATTGGTGCCATCCCCATGGGAAACAGTATGGAGATTCCTCAACATATTACAGATCTTCCATGTGATCCAGTATTTCTGGGTGTTTATCTGAAGAACATGAAAACACTAGTTTGAAAAAATGTTCCCCCCACCACCACCCTTGTGTTCACTGCTGCGCTGTTCTCAACAGCCAAGCTATGGAAACAAGCCAAGGACTCATCGACAGATGATTGGATAAAGAAGAGATGAAATATATACATAGATTTCATAGATGCACACACAAATAGACACACATAGATACACACACATGCAACTGTAAAAAAAAATCCTGACACCTGCAACATGGCAGATCTTTTTTTTCAAGATTTAAGAGCTGGGGTACAGGCTAGAGGTGAAGGGGCATGAGAGGATTCACCAGAGACAGAGTGGGGGGCAGAACAGGCAGACTGACTGAAACACACTGCTGAGGGGAGCAGTGGGCGAGTCAGGAGAGGTCTGCTGTGCCATGTGGGTAGCTCCCTGGCCAGGGATCAAATTTCTGCTGCGATGATGGCTGCAGACAGCTTCATAGTGCTAATGCTTAACCCCTTGCGCCACCAGGAAGGCCCCTAACATGGACAGGTCTTGAGCAGATTATATTAAGTGAAATAAATCAGAAAAAGAAAAATAAGCACCGTGTATTTTCACTCATTTGTGGAATATAAAGAAACAAAGCAAATGAATAAACAAAACAAAAACAAAAACAAAGCCTTAGACTGACTTAGTAGAATGGTGGTTACAGAAGTGGGGGGGCAGGGGGAGAGGTTAGAATGGTAAAAGGGACCGTTGGTGGGGGCTGGCTGGTGACTAGACATTTGCTGCTGGTGTAATATACACAGTTGTGGAGAGAGAAACTGTGCAACTGAAGCCAACCCAGTGTCAAAAACCAGTATTACATAAATAAATCAACAGGAACTAAAAAGTAGCAAAATACACTATGCAGAAAGCATAATCAACTAAGTGGAATAATAGAAAATGACACTCCCTCTGGTTACATTTCATAAACTGCCAAAAACCAAAGAATGTTTTTCGTATATGCTAATTACAGGCTCCAATGAATTTATTTTGTTGTAGTCAGGAAAGTAAAAACAGCATGTTATAAAGATACATTTAATTGCTATTTTAAAAGTATTTTTTAAAAGCATTTGGTGTTTTACTTCAGTTGGGTTTTTCCCCTCCCTTTCTCTGTATCAGGCCAATTCATTACTTGCTGGAACTCAGACCACAAAGCATTTTTGCCAATTATTTATGTTCTTTCCTTACTTAGGTAAAGTAAATCCCATACTTTCTCAGTGGGGTTAAGGTCAAGACTCAGAGGGGAGCCACTCCTTCCTAATTAGTTCCCCAGACTCCTCTCTCTTTTTTTTCCCCCCTGTAAATGGTCACAACAGTCTAGAAAAATGTTTGGAGTCATAATCCTCCTGATAAATGAATCTCTGATCAAGCAGCTGGTCCCCAGAAGGGATGCCTTGCTGAGCTGCAGTTATGCTGGAGCCGAATGCCCGCCGTTCAAGTCACAGCCCAAGGGCTCGGGAGGAAAATACCTGTGTCTGAGCACCACTGCATGATGAGCTCAGCTGCGAGATTCCTCCTTCTTCTGCCCTCCAAAGCCCTCACCCCAAATAGCAATTTTCTTGTTAGTCAAAGAGAAAAACGCTAATGTGAATGCCCTGGAAGGTCCTCTAGTGCTGACCCAAAAGGGAGCAGGAGAGAAATGCAGTGTGCTCAGAGTGCACAGGCAACTTAATACCCATCCTGGAAATCTTGAAAAGGGATTGCTATTTATATAGTGCACTTAATTTCTGAGCTACTGAATAGTCTTTTATTAATAGTTAGCCGCACCATAGTGCCTGTTTGAGAGGTTGCACATAAAGCTACTCCAAAGGGAGCTATTCATACATAGAGTTATATCTCAGAATAAGAAAAATAGTATACTGGAAATTAGAAAAAGCTACATTTGAATACTATCAACAATGGCACTATAAAACACACAGACACTGACACAAATGCACACAAATTTTTCACCTGCACACACGCTGAATGTTTAGGTTCCAGTGACTTTTCTATAGCCCTTTCAGACGTATTTGCCCTCTCTGGGTGTTCTTGGATAATAAAAACGTTGTCTTCTTGCTCCATGTTCCAGTCTTTCCTTTCTTGGTACTGCCAGTAGTGGTATATCAACTATGAAGCTGAGCTGTGCTTTTGCCAAGAGACAATGTTAACTTCCCAGCTGTCAGTCCCTCCATTAAGAAGCATAAATTTTCATGAAACCACCATGACTCTACTTTTACCTTAATTTCAGAAAAAAAAAAAAATGTTTCTATTTTTTCTAGGAAAAAAACCTCAGAGACATTTTAGAAGACAATGGAACATTAACTGTGTGGAAAGAGATAAGGATCACCCATTCTTCAATTAACAGACAATAGGCTCAGAGAAACAGTTTGTACCACATAAAGTAGAAAAATAATTACTAAAGAGAATAAAGAAAGAATCCCTACTGTATGTGTACATTTCATCAGGTTGCTTGAGAGATTATCAACAGAAAAAATAATGGTATTTCTAAACACCAACTAAAAGAAGTATAAAGAAAGAAAAGACAACATTTCCAAACACAAAAACTATAAGGTCATGATGTTTAAGAAGTAAAGATGTTCAAGAATTTTATTGAAAAAGTGATAAAATATTATTGAATAAATGAAGATATATACGAAAATCATTCAAAGAAAGACTCAATATTACTTAAAGGTATTACTGTACAATAGCCCCAAATGTACATAAAATCTATTTAATTGCAATTAATTTTCAAATAGTTTTTAATGTGACACATGTCAGTATGATCCTAAACTTTGACAGGTAATTTTGAAAAGGAAGAATAAGGTGTGTATGTAGTATAAAAGGTACAGGCACCAGTGGGACAGAATACAGAGCCCAGAAACAGACAGATACATACATGAAAACATGGAATTTCAAATCAGCAAGGAAAGGATAAGCAGGTTAGTAAATGGTGCTTGGGCTACTGGGTACATGTATGGATAAAAAAACAAATTTTCTATCACAATCCATAAAAATAATTTATGGATATAAAATTCAAACTTTTATAATATTTTAGATGAAAGTAAAAGCCATGACTTCAAGTAGGGAAGTTGCTCTTACATTATAAAACTATAAAGGAAATGTTAATGCTCACCTTTACATCCTTAAGAATCTTTAGGGCCTAGGGATTAAGTATCAGCACTATCTATCACTGCAAAGGGCCACCATGGTGGCCTGAGTTTGATCCCCGGCCAGGAAGCTGACCCACATGGTGCAACAGAACTCTCCTGTCTTGCCCACTGCTCCCCTCAGCAGTGTATTTCAGTAAATCATTCTCTTTTGCTCCCCACTCCATCTCTGGTGAATCCTTTCACCCCCTCACACACACCTCTAGCCTATACCCCAGTTCTTCTATGCAAAAGTAAATAAAATCTTTTTTTAAAAAAAAGAATCTTTAGTGTGATAAAAACAAACTGTAAATAAAGGAAAAGAAAAGATAGGAGGAAAGATATATACTACTTATACAACCAACAAAATCCAAGTCATAAGTTGAACTTTAAACTGATCTTCAATCTACTTACTTTTGGAAGAAACAAAAATAAATCAACCCTAAGAAAAGCCATAAAGAAGCCCCACAATTAATTTTCCAAGAAAAACAGACAGTTTACAAAGATAGCTGAGCACAAAGAAATAAGGAACTGTAAATCACAATCAACTAAAACCAAACACAGCATGAACAAGCTAGAAATGACTGATTTTATAGAATTTATAGATTATGAACATATACTTAGGTTTAAAGAAATAAAAGGCAAACTTGAATATATTTGAAAAGAAGAAGAACTTATTAAAAATAACTGCAGGTATAAAAATCAACATTTTTATAAAAGTATTTTAACATGAAAATTAAAATAATTGAGATTAAAAACACAATAGACCTTATACAGATGAAAAAAGAATCTGTCAATTAAAAGATAGTCCAGATAATAATATCCAGAATGCAGTACAGAAAGAAAAAATAGATGAAATAAAACTTGAGAAGCATATAGGATAAGGTGAAAACATCTAACAAATACCTACTCTTAGTTCTAGAACAGAGTGAAAGAGCAGGTGCAATATTTATAATGATAAGGGGTGAGAGTTTTCCCCAAAAACTGATGAAAGACATTCATCCACTGATTCAAGAATCACAATGAATTTCAAACAAGTTAAATGAAAAGAAATCCACATATAGATACATCCTGTGAAAATGCAGAACTTCAAAGACAAAACGTGTCTTAAAATTAGATTATGGTTAAAAGAGTGATATACTGACTTCCGACTTCTCAACAGCCATAGAAACAAGAAATGGGATCTTCCATGTGCCACAAGAATATAACTGCTTCACTAGATTTCTATAGAGCAAGGGAATTTTGTAAAACTAAGGAAATAAAATAAATATTATTTTCAAGCTAACTAAAACAATTTACCACCATTAGAATCATTCTGAATGACATTTTAAAGGATACACATTGAGGAGGAAAATGACCCCCATATGGATTGATATGGAAGAAGAACAAATAAAATAATAAATATGTTGGTGAACAAATAAATGAATAAAAATGTTATATAATAATTATAACAATAATATCCTGTGGCATTTAAAAGGATAGAATTAAAATACATGACAATTATAAGTCAAAGAAAGAAAGACATAAATGCAATAAAAGTGTTCAGGGCCTTGATGAAGTAGGGTTTATCTCAGGAATTCAAAGTTAGTTTGATGCTATAAAACTAGATAATGTAATATACTGCACTTAAAGATTAATGTATAAAAACTATGACCATCACAACATATGGAGGAAAGACTATAATTCATAGAATTCAGCATTCTTTCATGATTAAAGTAAATCTTTTTAGTAAACTAGAAATAGAAAGGAACTTCCCTGTTTTGATAAAGGAATTGACAGAAAGCAAATATTTGACTTAATGCTAAAAGTTTTCATTTGAAGTTAGGAAGAGAATTCCCACCATCACTGATATTTATTATTGATATATTGGCAATCCTAGTTAAAATCAAAACTTAAGAAACAGAAATAGTAATAATAATCCGAAATGAAGAAATAAAACTGCCATCATTGCAGTTGATATAATTACATAAATTGAAAATCCAAAAGAATCATAGCTAGATTCTTAGTTAGTTTCATAGCTAGATTAACTACCAGAGCTATCTGCATTTCTTATCATTTGACTCCTTCCATCAAACCAAATCAGAGAGTCTCAAATTCCTCTCATGTTTTAAGAAGAGTCCAGTCCCTTTAAAGGGCTCATCTGACTACGTCAGGCCTACCCAGTTAATCTCCTGTTCTTAAAGTCAACTGTGCTACTTACCCCAATATAGTTACAGGAGCAAATTTTCCATCAAAGTCATTCACAGGGTATTTACTCATCAAGGGATGACGATCTTGTAGGTCATCTTAAAATTCTGAGTACCACACTAATTTTCCCAATTATTTAAATTTAAAATAAAGGTTGAGTTTTTTTTTTTTTACTTTTTATTTGTGTTTGAGCTCATATTATGGGCTAGATTCTTGACTAGGTAATGCACATTAGCTTATTCAATGTCTTATATTCTGTGAAGCAGTTACTGGTATCATTCCTATCTTATAGATTAAAAACAATGAATTTTTGATTCATGCCATAATTTTCCTAGGGTGTCCAAAATATAAATAGTTGAGTAGATATTCAAACCAAACCCAGTTTGCTTTCAGAGTCCTTTTTAACCACTGGCATAAACTATTTTTGCCAGTGTTCATATTAGGAGAGTATTAAGAAAAAATTCCTCTTACTTTCCTTCCAGCTATGCAAACTGCAGTCTGTTCCCATAACAAATGCTTGTTTTTCTTTCCCTCTTTTTCCATTGTCAAATCTCCTTGAGAGTTTGATTTCCCTGTACATCCATCCTAGTAGTTATTTCATTGAATAATTACATATTTCAATCACAACCTTCTAAATTGCAGTGACAGAATATGATCTCTTTTGAAAGCAAATCTCTTATTTTTATTGTTATTTAAAATCTCAAGATATAAAATACAACATTTTAATTCTTAGTTCAATTTTTAGCACCCCAGTCAATTCATTTTACTACCCGTTAATGAGTTGTGACCCACTATTCCAATTACTGTTGCTGCATAACAAATCACCCCAAGCTAGTGGCATAAAACAACAACATTTTATTATGTTCAGGGACTCTGTAGGTCAGGAATTTGGGCAGAGCACAGCAGGAGCGGCTGGTTTCTGTTTTGGGGATACAGCTGGAGAGACTCAAATGACTAGAAATGACACAAATGCCTTGGGTCTGGGGAAACTGGAGGATTCTCCACTCGAAGTGGAACCTGTGCTGGAATGACTTGAAGATTTGGGACTGTCCCTGGAGTATCTACATGTAGCCTCTCGTTGTGCCTCGGACATCTCACAGCACAGTGGCTGTGTTCCCAGAGAGACATCCTGAGAAGGTGTGATCAGAAGACTTGCATTCCCAAAGACCCAGGTAGAATCTGCAAGGATAGTATGGTGAAGCCTGGGAAGTCATATGATGTCACCCCTGCAGCATTTTATTAGTTACAGCAAGTCACTAAGGTTGGCCCAGATTCCAGGGGAAGGAAATTACACTCCATTTATCAATGGGGAGTGTCAAGGACACACTGCAGAGGAATAGCTGGGATGGGAGATTGTTGCAGTCTCTTTGGGGAAGATGTAACCAACAACATTCACCTTTTGAAAAATAATCATCTACTGAATAAAGACACATCTTTATGTACAATCTGTTTTGGGTTGAACTATATGCAAAAAGATGTATGTTGAAGTCCTAATCCCCTAGCATCTGTGACCGAGACCTAACTGGAAATAGGGTCAGTGCAGAAGTAATTATGTTAAGATGAGGTCACTGGGGTGGGCCCTTCATGGATTGTAACTGGTATCCTTATAAGTAGAGAAAAGACACAGAGAAGAAAGCCTTGTGAAGACTCAGAATTGCACAGGGAGAAGACAGCCATAGGCAGAGATTGGAGATGTATGCAGAGACTGGGGTGCTGCTGAGGCCACAAGCCAAGGAATGCCAGAGCCACCAGAAATGGAAAGAAGCAAGGAAGAATTCACCTTGGAATCTTCGGAGGGAGTGTCACCCTGGGGAAATACTGGTTTTTGACTTCTCATCGCCAGAACCATGAAAAACCAAATGTCTCTTGTTCTCAGTCACTCAGTTTAGGGTACTTTGTGATGGTAACCTTGGGAAACTAATATACAATCTCTCTTTTTCTTTCGCAAATGTTATATATCCCATTCTACATTTTGCTTGCTTTATTTATAAGTCTTTGTACTTAAGTATATTTAAATGTAAATTTTGCTTTACATCTTCAAATATCTTCTTTGTATAAAAGCTTGACTGTGATTATCAACTCACTTTCTGAGCACTTTTAC